GGTGCCAACTTGGGCCAGTGAAGCAACGTCCTCCACAACTAGGCTGAAGAACAAAATGACAGCAACTTGTCTGTTTCCCTTCCCCCAATTCCCCAGCACTGTTCCCATCCCCCCAATTCCCCAATAAAAAAATCTTAAAAAAAAAAAAGTTCATGGCAGCATTATTTTAGTGCAAAACAATACAAAACAAAGCCCTTGAAATAATATGCATGTCCATCAACACAGGAACTGACTAAACAATGTACATCCATACTATGGAATAGTATGCAGCTATAAAAAAGAATGACTTTCATCTAAGGGTGCTGTCTAGCCTGGTAGCCATTAGCCACGTGTAGCTATTGAGCACTGGAAATGTAGCAAGTTCACACTGAGATGTGTTGTGAGTGTAACACACACACTGGACTTTAAAAGCATTAAGAAAAAAAAGAATATAAAATCTCTCATTAATAATTGTTTATATTTACTGGCTATATGTTGAATGATAATATTTTGATATATTGGGTTAAATAAACATATTATTAAAATTCATTTCAACGGTTTCTTTTTACTTTTTTTTTTTTTAAAGATTTTATTGGGGAATTGGGGAAGAGGAACAGTGTTGGGGAATTGGGGAAGGGAAACAGCCAGGTTATTGTCCTTCAATCTTAGTTGTGGAGGGCGCAGCAAGCTCAGCTCCAAGTCCAGTCGCCATCCGGCCACCCATTGGCAGCTAGCAGCTGCTCAGCTCAAGATGCTGTGTTCTATCTTAGTTGCGGGTGGGCATAGCCCACCATCCCATGTGGGAGTCGAACCAGCAACCTTGTTATTAGGAGCATGTGCTCTCACCAGCTGAGCCATCCTGCCACCTGTTGGCAGCTCAGCTTGGGCACAGCTCACTGGCCCATGTGGGAATTGAACTGGCGACCCTATGCTCAGAGCTCGTGCTCTTAACCAACTGAGCCACTTGGCCAGTCCGCTCACATTATGTTTGTATTGGACAATCAGTGTTGATCTAGCAGGATGTCCATTATATATTAGGAGAAAACATTAAATCATGAAGATATACATTTATATCTATTTCTATATATATATGTATCTATACATACATGCATACATATACACACATATACACAAATGTGTGTATATATAAATATATACATATTATGAACCTATAAATATATATACATATTATGAATTCATTTAAAAAATAGAAAAAAATCCCTACATATATTATGTATGTGAGTGAGTGTGTGTGGGGGATGAGTGTGTGTCTCAGTGTGTGTGTGGAATGTGTTTGTCTGTGTGTGTGTGTGTGTGTGTGTGTGTGTGTGTGTGTAGGTATAGAAAAAAGTATGGAAGGATACAAACCAAACTATTAACCCTTATGTGGTTGTGACAGGGAGAATATAGACAGTAAGGAGCGGGGGAAATTACTGTTTTTATTTGGATTGTTACGCTTGTATTGCTTTTATAGTTGAGAAATTAAAATAAAAGATCTCTAAATGAATTTCTTTAGCTTGTCATATGCCAGGCACTACGGTGCTAAGCTCTGGACATATGAAGATGAAAACAATGACTTTGCTTTAAGAGGAGCTCATAATCTAAGGAAAGAGACAAAAGACTCAACAATGACTTTGAACTGTGTTGGGGGCCGATGGAGCATGAACAGGCATCTGCAAGGTATGGGGGGGGGTCTCTATTTTATTCTCAGGATGTGGTCAAGGGGTGTGGGCAGAAAGTGTTTTGTGAAGGAGCTGATTGAGTTGGAGCTGAATCGTGTTTGACACTGGTTTTACAGGAGAGGGTTTGAAGGGTATTCCAGACAGAAGAAACTAACTTTTGGAAGACAGAGATGCAAGAAATAGCAAGAGGCCTTTGAAAACTGCCAGATTACGTAAAGGAGGGGGTGGTGGTAAATGAAACTGAACGGGTATAGTCCCTATCTAGAAAGGATTTTAGATCTAATGGGAGGGTTTTAATTTAGTGCTAAATGCTTCGAACCTCCCTTATAGAAACAGAGAATGACATGATTAGATTTGTATTCTACAAAGATCCTTCTTGCTGCAGAGTGTGCAGAATATAGGAAAGACTGGGGAAGCAACAGTTTCTGTGCTCAAAGAGCTTAGTTTACTTTGGAAGATACACATGATAAACAGCATTTATCAAGTGCTTATTTTTTAAAAAAACAATGAGTGTGTACTTAAAAAATAATATTATATATTAGAAAAAAAAGCAATGAGAAGACTTTGAAGTATTATTCCATATAGGGAGGGACTAGATTTGCATTTTAGATTACTGTCACTATTATGTGGAGAATGGATAGAACAGGGAAAGCCTGCAGGCCTAAGATCAATTAGGATGTTGTTTGAGTCCTCTAGGTGGCCAGGATTTAGGGAGAATATGGGAAGAAACAGGTTGGGCAACTTCTTGCTGAATACTATTACCTACATTAAATTTGCATATATTAAAGACAATTTGTGTAAGGTGCATATTAATGCTGAAGCAGTGAACACCCAGTGTGAGAGATCTTTGTATAGGAGTGAGATGGGGATCATGGGGAGGATTTTGGATTTTGGAGCTACCTAATATGGGTTGAAATCACTCACTAGATCTGTGGCTTTTAATGAGTCATGTCATCAGGTAAAAACTCTACCTTCTTGTTGTGGTCTGAACTACCATCATCTACAGCCTGGAATACCACAGTATTTTAGTATTCTGGTCTCTCTGTTACTGGCCTTGCTCTCTTGATCCAATTCCTCACAGACTACCCAAAGTAACACTTTAAAAACACATTATATTCCTCTGCTGAAAATCTTTCCATGGCTCTCCATTTCACTGTTTATGTAAATAACCTATAGGACTCTCTACCATTTCTCTTTCTCATCTCCTACTACTACTCTCCTTTCACCACCAACTCCCCCTCCAGCCGGAGGCTTCTTTATTGTTCTTCAAATACAGGAGGTGGCCTCCTGCCTCAGGTCCTTTGCACTTGTCTTTCCCCTGTGCTTGAAATGCTATTCCCGACTTATTTCCACTGACTGCTCCTGCATCTGAAACTTACTCAAATCCTCAGTGAAGCCTTCCTTAACTACTCTGGTTCAAATTATACTATAAAAGGCCATCTGGAAAAGACATGAAGGAAGGATGGGAGTATTATCATGTGTATTTTACTTATCTGGATTACTGTAGTTCCTCCCAGAACATAGGAATTTTTGTCTTTTTACTTCCCTGTTGTATCTCCATAGTCTAAAACAGTGCCTCGCAGATAGAAAACTCAACAGATGTTTAATTACACTGATAATGCAGCTAACAATGACAAAACACTAAATAGGCCAGGCCTAGTTCCAAGCATTTTACATATTTAACCCTCACAACTAGTCCCATGAAGAAAATACAAATGACCATCTTTATTTTACAGAAACGAAGGAATGGAGGAAACTGAGGCTCAGAGAAAGCAAGCAAGCCTCCCAAGGTTATACAGCTTCGTTAAGTGGAGCGGCGATTTGAGGAATGAAATGAATGAAATGCGATTTGGCAGTCAGCGCAGGACTGAAAATTGACACCGTGGGAACCGAAACTATCGGTTTGTGGGAGCGCGTACAACACGGGGCGCGCAGCTCACGCCCTGCAGCCGAGGTCTCAGGAGGACGTGAGGGCGCTTTGGGAACTGCGAGGCGGCGGCTCCAGCGAGCCACCACCGACCGAACCACCACTACCAGCCGCCGCCGGGTCTCCCGCCGCCTGGAAGCAGGAAGTGGCAGGGGGCGTCGCGCGGGGTGACGTCACTATGGCGCCGGCGGGGAAGGGCGGGGGAGAAGGAGGAGCGAACCGGGCTTGGGGGGCGGCTGCACAGTCTCCGGGATCCCCAGGCCTGGAGGGGGGTCTGCGCGCGGCCGGCTGGCTCTGCCCCGCGTCCGGTCCCGAGCGGGCCTCCCTCGGGCCATCCCGATGTGACCAGGCCCAGCGGAGCCTGAGCAAGGAGCGGGTCCGTCGCGGAGCCGGAGGGCGGGAGGAACATGACATCGCGGAGGTGAGGAGCCCCGAGGGGCCCGGCGCGGGCCTCGGCCCGGCCCCCGCCGCGTTCGGTCAGCCTCGCCCGGGAGGGGGCGCCCCGGGCGGACTGCGATCGCCCGCCCGGGGTCAGGGGACAGGCGGGGTCCCCCCCGCTAAACTCCTCGCCCTCCCGGGGCCGGGGTCCGGTCCCACCTCGCTCCCACCCCTTGGGTCTCCATTCATTTCCTGCCTCCCGGAGTTCCGGCTCCCGCAGCCTAGGGGATGCCCGTCGGGACGGGGGCAGGTAGAGCCGCCTCGGGAACCGCGGCCGCCAGCGGCCCGGCTCGGCGCCGCATTCCTGACCCATTGCCTCATGAGAATTGCCTCATGGTGATTCCGAAATAAACCCCGCTCGCTTGGGGAGGCTCCTGGGCCCGGGACGCGGGAGGGAAGAGGCGCGGCCGGGCCCCCGACGGTGGAGCTGCTCGAGGGCACTCTGCCCGTCGCGCGCCTTTGGGGGCTTCACTCGGGATCCCCGACCCCTTTCCGTGCGTCTTTGCATCTCCTTCCCCCCCCCCACCCCGCCCCTCACGTGCCAGAAATGGAAAAACTGACTGTATCTGCAGCTATTAGAAGTATTTCCTTCCTCTGCAATATTCGCTTTGAGAGATGGGAGGGAAGGGAGTTGTATCTCTTCTAGTCATTTAATCCTTGACCACAGCCTTAAACGTCAGGTAACATTAATCACCCTCTTTTTTACGGGTGTGGAAACCGAGGCTCAGAAGTAACAAGCTAGTAAATGACAGGATTTGTACCTAAGAGTCAGAAGGAGGATTAGTGAATTAATGAGATCCTTTGAAAGGTCAGGGTAATAATACTAATAGCTAACGTTTATTAAGCTGTTACTGTAAGCCGAACATTTAATCTTCACTATAACCCTACGAGGTGGGTACTATTATTCCCTTTCTAAAGATGAGTAAACTGAGTTTCAGAAGTTAGGCAACTTGCCTAAGGTCACTCAACCAATAAATGGTAGAGCCAGAATCCCCAATGTTAATCACCATGTTGCTATTACTTTATAACTATTGCTAATCATTTTTAAGCCTTAATTTTGTTGTTAAACAGTAGGGTGACCTATTGTTTTCAGATGGTGTGATCTGCTTTATGTGTAGTCACTCTGTATACACCATTCACATGTAAGACTCATTGTTCATCCTTTTCTTTGGTTGCCCTGTTATGGTCACCGTCTTAGACATTTGAAAAACCGTTTAAGCTGTTGGGGTTGTTTGAATATGAGACTTTTCAAAATATTAGAATGTCGTCTCAAAATCCACCTGCACAATCTTCATTGATAGATCTGGAAGGAAAAGAGTGAGAAACAAGAAAACGGGACACTTAGGAAGTGAGTGACTGGGACAGGTCTGTTGGCAAGTGCTCACAGATCTGGGTAATACATAATTGCAATTCAACAGAACAGTGTATAGCCTCAAATGTAATTCTTTAGGGAGCTTTTAAATAAAACAGTTGTCTATTCTCTAATCTGTCAAATAGTCATTGAGCCTTTTGTTCCTTGTGTCTGCTCTTCCAGACAAGTAAGGATCTGCTGCTTTTGGAGACAAAAGACGGGGCTGGGGGTGGGTAAGGGGCAGGGTGGTAATAGACCCTACATTGTCCAGCGTGTTAGCCTAGAAGCAGGGAAGTGTGGGGATAGCCAACCAGCAAGTGGTAAACATGACCGTTTGAAATGGAGTAACCCCTCCTCTCCAGCCCTCCCTCGCTCACCTGTTATAAAAAAGAAATGTGTGCCACCAAAAAAGTCAAATTATGAACATAACACACATCATTGGGAATTACTATTTTTCAGATTGTAGATCTGCTTCATTATTTTTAACCTGCTTAATTGAGGTATAAATGACATGCAATACATTACATATATTTAAGTGTACAGTTTGATAAGTTTTGACATATGTATACACTCGTGAAACCGTCACCACAATCAAGATAAGAAACATATCCATCACTGCTTCAGATGGTTCCTCATGTCCTTTATAATCCCTTATTTGTCAGGCAACTACTGCTCTGCTTTGTGTCCCTATATATTAGTTTGCATTTCCTAGAATTTTATGTAAATGGAATTTTAAGGCTGGCTTCTTATGCTCAGCATAATTATGTTGAGATTCATCCATGGTGTAGTATGTGTCAAATAGTTCATTACTTTTTATTGCTTAGTAATACTCCATTACTGCTAATTGTTGATCCATCCCCCTGTTGATCGACATTTGCATTGTTTCCAGAGTTTGGCTATCACAAAGCTGCTCTGAATGTTCAGGTACAAGTGTTTGTATGGACATACACTTTCATTTCTCTTCAGTAAACACTTATCAATGGTATGGCTGGATCAGACAGTAGAGGTGTCTTTAATTGTTTCAGGAATTGCCACACTTTTTCAGAGCAGTTATACTGTTTACATTCCCACCAGCAGTGTATGAGAGTTAACAGTTCTTCCACATACTCATCAGCAGGTGGTATGGTCAGTTTTGACAATTTAGCCATTTTAGTGGGTGTGTCATGGTATCTCATTGTAGTTGTGTGTGTTTTTTTAAAGATTTTATTGGGGAATTGGGGAAGGGGAACAGTGTTGGGGAATTGGGGAAGGGGAACAGCCAAGTAGTTGTTCTTCAGTCCTAGTTGTGGAGGGCACAGCTAGCTTAGCTCCAAGTCCAGTTGCCATCCGGCTGCTCCTTAGCAGCTTGCGGCCACTCAGCTCACTGTCCCGTGTTCAATCTTAGTTGCGGGTGGGCATAGCCCACCATCCCATGTGGGTCGAACCGGAAACCTTGTTGCTAAGAGTGCATGCTCTAACCACTGAGACATCCGGCCGCCCTCTCCTTTTAGTTTTAATATGTATTTTCTCTGGGGACTAATCATGTAGCCCATCTTTTCATGTGCTTATTTACTGTCTGTATATCTTCTTTGGTGACATGTCTATTTGATAAAATATTTTCCCTCTTTTTTATTTAGTTGTTTGTTTTATTATTGAAATTTGAGAGTTCTTAATTCTGGATACTGGTCCTTTATCAGAATTGCAAATATTTTCTTTTAGTCTGTGGCTTGTCTTTTCCTTTTTTTTTTTAACTAAAAGCTCAAAGTTTTAATCTGAATTTTTCTGTCTTTTCATTTTCTTTTAACAGTGTCTTTTGAAGAACAGAGGTTTTTAATTGGGTGAAGTCCAGCTTATCAATTTTTTTTAAATGGATAATGCTTTTGGTGTCATTTCTAAAAATCTTTGCTTAACCCAACGTCTCCAATGTTTTCTCCAAGTTTCTAATCCACTTTGAGTTAATTTTTGTGTATGGTATGAAGTGTGGATATGTATTCTGTTTTTGGCATAGGGATGTTCAGTTGTTTCCGCAAGATTTGTTGAAAAGACTGTCCGTGTTTATTGAATTTGCACCTTTGTTGAAAATCAGTTGTCCATTTAGATGTGGTTCATTTCTGGACTCTATTCTGTTCCATTGATTTGTCCGTTTGTCTATCCTTTCGCCAATATTACATGGTCTTAATTATTCTAACTTTATAACAAGCCTTGAAGTCAGATAGTGTTAGCTTCCACCTTTGTTCTTCTATTTAAAATTATTATTTTATTTTTTTATTGGGGAACAGTGTGTTTTTCCAGGACCCATCAACTCCAAGTCAAGTAGTTGTTTCAATCTAGTTGTGGAGGGCGCAACTCAGTGGCCCATGTGGGAATCGAACCAGCAACCTTGGTGTTATGAGCCTGCGCTCTAACTACCTGAGCTAACTGGCTGCCCCTCAAATTATTTTTAACCCTAGTATTAATTCATTCAACAAGTAGTTATTGAACCAGGCAGAATAAAACAGTAAGATAGGCAAAGATTGCTGTTCTTGGGGCCGAGAGAGTAGACAAACATGTGAATAGATAAGACAATTTTAGGTAATAAGTAATAACTGCTGGGAAGGAAAAAAAAACGAATGTGGAGAATGTGGTTAGTTTTGATGAGGGATTTAGGAAAGGCGTCTCTGAAGAGGTGATCATATGAGCTGACTCCTGAATGACAAGTATTATTCTGAGTTTTGTTTTGCTTAATTATCAAAGTAATTATTTTTGATTCATGTGTTAGGATTTAGCTTTTGTATACATTCAGTAATTAAACTGGCAGTGTGTTCAGTGTACTCATACCTCTCAACATCATAGGTAGGGGAAGGAAGGCATGGAGTAATTAAATGACATTTTCCCAGGTACTTTAGCGGTGGTAGTCCTGAATTTAGATTTTGAGATTCCTTGTCTGCCTTCCTCTGCCTTGTTCAGCTGGCAAGACTGGCTGTATTTTCCGTCTTCCTTCAGAATATGGCACATCCTTTATATTTGCTTTTGTTCCTGCGAAAGATACTGTACAATGACTTGAGCTGAGAGGAGCCGGCAATTTAGCGTGTTCTGAGACGCTTGGCTTTTGGTTTATCTCTTGCAGGTCGAGTACATTTTGTCCCAGGCTCTGCCTGGTGGCCCATGCTTTTTTATCTCCTGTGGGAGTGAATAAACTTGCCTTGCTGAAAAATTACAGTTCTTGGTCTTTCCAGTTGAAACTGGGATGTCTTTATTAATGTCATGGCCCAGTGTAAGCTCGGGTGTTTGGCCAGAGCTGCCCAAGTGCAGGGGCCACGGCTAAGGTTACTTACCCTTCTCACACATGGTCAATGTGGAGACTGTTAGTGAGTCGCATCAAGATCCTGGAAAAGCAGAGCCAACTCATGTTTGTATTTGTTACTCTACAGAACAATAGAGGACACTGTGCTTATTTCTCTTTCCCTTTGGGGAGCACAAACAGCGCTTGCTATTCAATGCTGACCTTTTTAAGGAAAGGAAAGGCAAATAAGGAAAGGAAAGGCTGATAGGGGGAAAAAAATGGATTTACTTGCAAGATGGTGTTGGAGGAGAACTCTAGGGATACTCTGGGAAGACGGACAAGTGGGTCCCAGAGCAAATTCAGCCTGGAACGTCCCTGGAGGCAAAAACGA